GCGGGCTCCAGCCTGCTTCATGTCCCCTGCCTCACCCGCCCTACCATTGGCGGGCAGGCCTTCAGCCATTCTGCCCCACCCTCTAGAACTCCATCCCGCAGTTCCTCCAACTCGCCCGCTCCCTTGCCTCCTTCAAGACCCACCTCAAGTCCCTCCTTTTCGACCTTGTCTTCAATTGCCCTCCTTTCCCCCCATACCCAGACTTTGTCTGATATTTTCATTTGATTCACAGATTTGAATAAAATAGTATTTCATATTCTTAAAATATATAATTTTCATACTTTGATTTGTATTTCTGCAGATACATTGTACAGTGAGTGACTTAAGCTGCTCGAAATGTATTCTACTCTTAAGTATTACCTCAAGTTTTTGGTTCAAGTGTCAGCTTGACTCACGTGGTAACACTCTCGCCTCTGACTCAGAAGTTTGTGGGTTCATGCCCCATGTCGGGACTTGGAACTCATATAGTCTAGGCCAGGGAGATTTCACCGATGTCCTGCCCAACAATCCCCCAAATAAAATTGGCTATTTGCTTTGTGGTTGTTTTGTGAGACATTTCTGCGTGGAACTTACCTGCCGTTTTATCCCACAAAAGAGCACAGCCAGTACATTTTGTAATGTATCCCTTGAAGTGCTTTGGTCGTGTTGTCACTCGTATTATATTGATTAACATAAATGATTTGAAATAAGTAGTTCCTGAAAAGTATTGAGTTACTAAAAAATTTTATTTTGTATTTTTAGATCTTCAAGGTATTCAACATACTAGAATCACATGTATATTACGTTAAAGTGGTAAATGTGAGATTTTTAAATAAATCTCACAATTTAGACTGAAATTTCACCAATACCAAATCCATGTGTATAGAATAGATAGTTATGTGCACTTAGCATAATTTAGCTTTCAGCAGAGTGGAGTCCTGTAGCTCAGTGGTTAGAGCACTCGCTTTGCAAGCGAGAGACCTGAGTTCACTTCCAGGCACAGGGCGAAACCTTGGGCAAGTTTCCTTACTCCACACGCCTAATAATAATCCCTCCAAAAAACAAAACACAATAATAAATTGGTCATTTTCAATCTACGACTGTTTGTGGGACATTGCTGTGCGCAATTGGCTGCCGCGTTCGCCCACAAATATACGGTCAATTCACTTTACAGTATATTCTGTGAAGCGCTTTGGGACGTCCTCCCGACGTGAAAAGCGCTATATCAAATGCAAGGATTATTATTATTATAGTGCACTGATTTCATTTTTGGTTCAATCCCAAGTAACTCAACTAATTCTTTCAATTCCAGTTACCCGCTTTCTCCCCAAATCCCTTAATACCTACCAAAAATATATCAACCTTGAAGATGTGGATGGATCCAGGGAGAAAATTCCAGATTTCTACCACCCTTTGAGTGAGAAAATGCTTCCTGATTTCACTCTTAAATGACCTGGTTCTAATATTAAGACTCTGCTCCATGTTTTGGATTTCCCCACCAGAGGAAATAGCTTCTCTGTATCTACTCTATCTAATTCCTTCATCATCTTAAATACCTCAATCAAATCACCCCTCAACCTTCTAAACTCTGGGGAATACAATCCAAGTTTACGCAGCCTTTCCTTGTAACAACCCTTTTAGCCCTGGTAACATTCTGGTGAACCTGCGCTGTACCCCTCCAGGGCCAATATATCTTTCCTGAGGTGTGGTGCCCAAAACTGAACGCAGTCTCCGGATGGGGTCTGACTAACGCTCTCTACGGCTGAAGCATCAATACTTCCCCTTTGTATTCCAGACCTCTTGAGATAAAAGCCAACATTCCATTCACCTTTTTGATTACTTTTTGCACCCGGGAACTAGTTTTTAGTGATTTTTGGATATAGTCACCCAAATCTCTTTGCTCCTCCACAGTTCTTAATTTCTCTCCGTTAAGAAAATATTCTGTTTTACCTTTTTTCGGTCCATAGTGGATGACCTCACACTTCCCTACATTGTACTCCATCTGCCACAGCTTTGCCCACTCACTTAATCTGTCTAAGTCCCTTTGTAACTCCCTACTCCCATCTACACAATTAACTGAGCTTTCTAGCTTGGCGTTGTCAGCAAACATGGATATAAAACTTTCTATTCCTTCATCCTAGTCATGTATATATGTGGCAAATAACTGGGATCCCAGTACAGACCTCTGGGGGACACCACTTATCACGTCCCGCCAATCAGAGAATGTTCCCTTTATCCCTACTCTCTGTTTCCCGCCTCCCAACCAATTATCAAGCCACGTCACAAGGTTACTTCCGACTCCATGCACTTCTATTTTTGCTAATAATCTTTTGTGTGGAATCTTGTCAAATGCCTTCTAAAAGTCCATATGAATGACATCCATAGACACTCTCTTATCCACCATTTTAGTGACCTCCTCAAACAATTCAACTAGATTAGTCAGACACTACCTACCCTTCACAAACCCATGCTGACTCTCTTTGACTAGCTCATACCTGTCCAAGTGTTCAGTCACTCTGTCCCTGATGATGGATTCCAGTATTTTCCCTACACCTGATGTCAAACTGACAGGTCTGTAGTTTCCTGGTTTCTCTCTTCCTCCCTTCTTAAATAAAGGGGTGACATTCACAATTTTCCAATCTGCTGGCACAATTCCCAACTCTAGGGAGCTTTGAAAAATTATGACAAATCTGCAATTTCCTCTCCTATTACCTTTAACACCCTGGGGTGGAAACTATCAGGTCCTGGGATTTGTCTATCTTGAGTCTCATTATTTTCTCCATTACCATATTTTTATTTATATTAATTTTATTAAAGGGGACTCCCTTTTTGCTCCTCTTATTACTTTCTTTGTATCCTTTTGATGCCTTTGTTAGTTCACCAAGTCCTCTGCATTCCCACTTTTTCTTGCATTTGAGTAAGCCTTTTCTTTTAGCTTGATGCAGTCTCTAACCTTTTTTGTCCACCATGATTGCTTAACTACACGATTGGAGCTTTTGCATTTTAGGGGTATGTACTTGGTCTATATTGTATCAAATACTTTTTTGAATACTTCCATTGTTCATCTGCAGGTTTACCCATTAACAGTTCAGCTCAGTTTACTGTGGTCAATATATTTCTCATCCCATCGACATTTGCCTTACTTAAATTTAAAACCTTGGTCCCTCTCAAATCCAATGTCAAATTCAATCATATTATGATCATTAGTTGCAAAATGTTCCCTTAGTGTCAGATTGTTAACCAGTTCTGGTTCATTACTCATCACCAAATCCAATATGGCTTGTTCCTTTGTTGGTTCTAACACATATTATTCCAAAAAAACTATCCTGAATGTTTTCTAGAAATTTGTTGTCTTTACTACCTGTTTCTCCCAGTCTATGTGAAAACTAAAATCTCCCATTATAACCACATTGCTTTTGCTACATGTTTCCCTGATCTCTGTTTTTATACATTTCCCCACTACATCACAACTCTTTAGAGGTCTGTAGGCTACTCCCAACAGAGTCTTACCTCCTTTGCTGTTCCTGATTTCTACCCACGGTGTTTCCACTGCCTGATCGCCCTTACTGAAATCTTTCCTTTCCACTGTTGTAACCGTGTCTTTTATCAATATTGCTACTCCTCCTCCTTTCCCAATGTCCCTGTCTTTTCTAAAGATCTTATACAACAGCAACAGCTTGCATTTACGTAGCACCCTCCATGCAGGGTAGAGTCTCAGAGCGCTTGGCAGTGGCGGAGCCTGACTCCGAGCCGGGGGGAGGGGTGAGGTGGCCGTAACCACGGTCAAACAGGAAAGTTTTCAGGCGGGACTTGAAAGAGGGGAGAGAGGGGGCAAGGTGGAGGGATTGAGGGATAGTGGCTGAAAGCACGACCTCCGATGGTGAGACAGAGGGTGCAAGGAGTGAGCAAGAGGCCAGTGCCAGTCGAGCGGAGGCGCCGGGTGGTGGATTGGGGAATGAGGAGGTCGGAGAGGTAGGGAGGTGCAAGGGAGTGAAGGGATTTGAACACGAGCGTGAGGATCTTGAAGTCAGTTCGGTGATGGGGAGCCAGTGGAACCTGGTCAGAACTGGTGAGATGTGGGTACGGAGTTTGGTCCGGGCAGCAGAGTTAGAGCCTGCAATATTAGCTCCCAGTCCTGCCCAGCTTGTAACCAGGTCTCTGTAATGGCTAATACATCATACCCTTTAAGCTGAATTTGTGCTTCTAACTCAATTGTTTTATCTCTTATGCTACTTGCTTAGACATAAAACGTCCTCAGATCAGACTAACAGCGTTCTGCTACTCATTTTTAAAATGTAATTTTAAGATGTAGGAAATTAATGATTATTTTATTAAGGGTATCATTTTATTTGAAGTAAAACACATGAAATTCATGTTTAAAGTACTTTGATATAATATTAGCACCTTTCACTTAAAGTCTTGTTGGAAAAAAACATATAAAATGAAATAGAAATGAATATTGAATACAGGACAAGATGAGTAACCAATTAATCTTACATGTTAAAAATAGAACTTTCTTCGTGGCTCAGCCATGTTCAGAGACTTGGTCGCTCAATCCACGACTGTTTGTGGCAATTGGCGCAATTGGCTGCCCCGTTTCACCCAAAAAAACAATCACGACACTTTCAAGTATATCCTGTGAAGCGCCTTGAGACGTCTCGATGACATGATAAGACGCTATATCAAATGCAAGGATTATTATTTATTATCCCATCCACAGCTCGGGGCCAAACCCCTCTTTATTCTGCGCCTTAGGACATCCTCCCAACTTGAAAGGTGCTATATAAATGCAATTTGTTGTTTGTTGTTGGTGTAATGAAGAACAAGAACCTTATCGAGAACATTACAATTTGTTCTTGTTTTGTGAAGCCCTTTGAGATGTTTCTCTACACAGGAAAGAAGCTACAGTATAGAAGTACAAGTTATTATTAAAAGGCTTATTATCTGTATGTTGGAGAAGGTAATTGTGTAGTTGTGCTCACTCTAGCAACAAATGTTGAATTGTTTGTCCTCTCTTTCAGCTAGAGAGACAGTTGTTGATGCAGAATGAAATGCGACAGAGGCAGGTAGCAATGCAGATCGCATGGTCCCGTGAGTTTCTGAAGTACTTTGGAACATTTTACGGATTTGCAACCGTTGGCTTAACAGCAAGGTATACAGATTCTTTTTTTCTAACTCCAAAAGGATATTATTACAAATAATTTGTTGTATCATAAAATGATTCTTTAGTAATATACTCTATTTCGTATACTCACAAATATATATTAATATATCATAAAATGACTCTCTAGTAATATGCTCTCTTTAATATACTCCAAATTCTTTAAAAAACGGTCACTCAACCACGATTGTTTGTGCTCACAAAACTGTGGGCAATTGGCTGCCGTGTTTTGCCCACAAAATACACATTCAATCCACTTTATATACTGTGAAGTGCTTTGACGGGTCTCAACGACGTGATAAGATGCTATATTGAATCAAGGATTAGCATTATTATTACTATTATTATTGAATACAACTGATCTAGCAGGATCGCAGCCACGCTCAATGGTTTATCACCTGGTACAGGCAGTTATAACATCATCAGTTTTTTTTAATGAATTTAAAATTGATAAAAGAATGAGTGAAAAGAGTACGTCTTGTCCACATTCAGCTGAAGGAAGTTTGCACTCATCCAAAAGAACCCAGTAGAGCGGAGGCAGTGGGTACCTCTGCGGGGAGAGAGGAGGTGAGAGAGATGGGGGTGTGCCAAGGAATGGAGGGATTTAAACACTAGAATAAGGATCTTGAAGTCGATCTACTCTGTGACAGGGAGCCAGTGGAGTTTTGAAAAGAGGGGAGGTGACCCAAATACATGTTGTTGTTTTTGCCACATTCACCTACAAATATATAGTTACTACACTATGAAGCACTATGAGATGTTCTTAACATTATATGTCAGATGGAAAGATTATTATTATATTCCTAAACCATTTCACACAGCTTAATTGGAAAATTCTGTGCTATTTCAGAAATTATACTTTAAAATATCTTTAATATCATACTGTAGTAATTTACTATTACAACTACAACAACAATAACATGCATTTATATAGTGCCCTTCACATAGATAGTGTCTCAGCTTGGTTTGGATACTCTTAAGCATGGTGATGGGTTTCCACATGTGTCAGACACCCGGTAGACCAAAATAAAGTGTCTTGGAAAGATTCACAATGATAGGGTCTGATAAAATAATACTAATTGTAATTATTATTAATAATTATTAACAATTGTTGCATTTGGTATAGTGCCCTTCATGTCAGCAGGACATCTCAAAATGCTTCACAGGATTCATTTAAAATGGAGTGACAGTATATTTGTAGGTGAACACCACATCCCAAATGCGAACAACAACAACAAATTCTACTTGTATAGCACCTTTCGCATCGTAAAGATGTCACAGGGTGCTGGACGGTCAGGGGATTTCTGACCAGAGCTGGGAGTTGGGGTCAGACGGAGTGGAGGGCAGGGGTATTGGGGGTCCCACAAACAACCATGAAAAGAATGACCAATTTTAGTTTGGAGGAATTGTCGGCCAGGACACTGGGAGAAACTCCCTTTTTTCAAAAAGTGCAATGGGATGTTTAACACTCACCTGGACAGGAAGACGCGACTTAAGTTTAATGTCTCATCCAAAGAACGGCACCTCCGGCGATGAATACACCCCCAGTATTGAGTGTCAACTGACTCAAATCCTGACATGGGGCTTGAACCCATAACTTTCTGACCCAGAGGCGGGAGTGCTGCCAACTTAGCCAGGCTGATACACCAGTTCCTGAAGAAGGGAGAGGGAGAAATAAGGGGACTATAGGCACCTTTGAAGAGGTAGGTTTTTAAGGCTGTATTTAAAGATAATAATCCTTGCATTTGATATAGCACTCATCATGCCTTCGAGAAGTCTCGAAGCGATTCACAGAATATACTGTAAAGTGAATTGACTGTATATTTTGTGGGTGAAATGTGGCAGCCAATTGCGCACAGCAGTGTCCCATAAACAGATAAACAGAGAGGGGTTGAGACAGAGGATTAGAGCGAGGGAGTTATAGAGATTATGAGCAATAGTAGCTGAACGAGTGTTGTGTAGATAATGTTCATAGTCAGTATATATAGTCACCTCTTTTAAAAGTAAGTTTTACATTGAATATATCTTTGCAAGCCAAGAAAGAGTAATTCTTCCACTTTTTTTTGTAGAGCTGTGAAGGGGAAGAGTCCAGGGTTTCTTGCCCCTATTATCCCCCTCAGCATCATTCTAGTCTACCAATATGACATGGCTTATGGCACTCTAATGACAAGAATGAAAGGTAAAGTACATGGAATATATCTTTAATCTTTATGTGTTTACCCAATTTCCTGTTAAATCTTGTAACTGGCTCGATTTCAAACCAATCATTGTAACTCATTTCACACTCAATAGCTCTTTGTATCAAAACAGTTCTTGTCATCTCTTCCTTTACGCTTCTCACAATGGTTTTAAATTTATGCCCCTTTCATAGCCAATTCATCAACCAGTTAAAATCATTTGACATTCTCAAACCTTTTTATAATTTTGAACATGTCTGTTTCTTCCCTTTTAATCTTGTTTCCAATAAATAAGTTCCCAGTTTTTAAGGCTTCCATCAAACTATTTTCTCTTATCCCCGATATTATCTAAGTGAATTTATATGGTAACTCTGATGTTCTTTCTATAATGGGCCACCCAAAATATACTCCAGCTGTGGCACATGTGCAGATTCAATATCATGTCCTATTTTTGTATTCATTGCTTCAGTATGTAATTCCAAGTATTCCTTTTTCCTTAACCTGAGGTTTTTTTATTATAGTTGTGAAGTGAGCACTCTGCTGGAACCTGGTTCAATTGAGAGATGGTTTCAGCAGGAATTGGTTAAACTCCAAAAGTACCCCAACCCGGGGCTCCCCAAACATTGGCTCTCACAACGAATATTCCCTGGAAGTAAGTGGGGTGCGACCCTCCAGAGAGTGTCCATTCCATTCCAAACACAGAGAAATTTCCATGTGAAGCTGGCATACATGTATGGAACTCTGGTAGGTTTAGATAATATTAAGCATGCTAACAGTTTTCAACATGCCCCTTCCCCTCCCATAGACGATAAACACAATTTCTTACCAAGTTTGATTAAAAAAACCTATAAAAGTTGCATTCCTGACTACAGAAGCTGCTTTACAGCCAGCAATTTGCTTTCTGATCTTTTTTTTCTTAGCATATCTATGTGAATCCATATTTATGTCATCCTCTGAATTTACTTTCAAACAAAGAGTTTTCTATAATTTACAATGCTCCTTTTGCATTCAACCCATCTATAATATTTCTGGCAATACAATGCACACGTTTTCCTTTGTGTTTTATTTTCTAGATGAGGCAGAGAATATTATCGATACAGAAAAGGCAAAACTGGAGATGCCAAAGGGAGTGCCAACTTTTGAAAGCATTGAGAAAGCCAGGAGGGCTCGGAGCACATTTTTCATTGAGAAATAGAAGGCAAACACAAAAAGAAATGGGACGTAAGTCAAGAAATCAAGGATGAAGGAAGAAAGGAATTCTGACAACCGAATGTCCACATTCATATATTTTACCTCCTAAATGATGTGCAAGATTTGCACTCTTGTACATGTTAAATAGAGCTTTGCCTTTGAAGTGACAGTGTGCCTTTTAATTATTTTGCTTTCCTCTTTATTTATGCTCTTTTGGATCATTCACATCGCAAATTCTTCATCCCCACACCCCCACCATCCCCGTGCGTGAATCAAGCACAAAATTGTTGTTTGACTACAGTAAAAAGATGCTTTACATTTGTTCCTGGCCGCCCTGGGTTGTATTGCCATCTGCAGATCGTACACAGTTTCACAGCACAATGAAGAATAAAAGACTTGATCGGAGACGATGTATTCACCATGAACATTTAGCGAACATTTCACACCCCTGGCGCTATATCATATGCATGAATTCTTATTACTTGTAAAGTCCACAACTGGCTGCAGAATGCAACAAGAACCAAACATGATATAATCAACTAAATGTACAAAATATTTTATAGAGTTATCAGAAAATACAATTTAGTGAGGGGCTGTTGGATTTTTTGACTTTAAATATATTTACCCCGCTACCCCTTCACCCCCCACCCACCCCACCATGAAAGGTGTGTTGACCTGGCTACTACATATTATCCCTGAAATTTAATAATAAAATATATATTTCAAATAGTGCCTATACAACTCAAAATGTTTTACAGGATTTATTGTAAAATGTAGTGACTGTGACAGTCATATATAGCTACCAATTTGCAAACAGCAACGTCCTATAAATAGCTGTGAAGTGAATGACAACAACAGCTTGCATTTACAGAGCACCCTCCACGCAGGGTAGCGTCTTAAGCGCACATAAAAGTGACGGAGCCTGACTCCAAGCTGGGGGAGAGGCGGGGGGGTGGGGGGGAAGTGACCGTAAGCATGGTCGAAAAGGAAGGTTTGCAGACCGGGCTTGACAAAGGGGCGAGAGTGGGCAAGGTAGGGGGATTGAGAGAGAGTGTTCCACAGTTTCAGGGCGTAATGGCTGCAAATGTGACCTACAATGGTAGAGTGGAGGGTGCAAGAGACAAGCTGGAGGCAGGTGCCAGTCAAGGGGGTAGATTGGGGAGTGAGGAGGTCGGAGAGGTATGGAAGTGCCAGGGAGTGAATGGATTTGAACACGAGCGTGAGGATCTTGAAGTCAATCCGTTCGGTGATGGGGAGCCAGCGGAGTCTGGTCAGAACTGGTGAGATGGGGGTACGGAGTTTGGTCCGGGTCAGTATGTGCAATACTTACTATATTCAGGTCAGGTGGGTTTGGGCTGCATTTGGGGTAAGGTACAGTCGGAGGCGGGCACGGTGGAGAAAGCAAGCGCCCTGGTCAGGGACCAGAGGTGGGTGAGGAAGGACAGCTGGAGATGGAAGCAGATGCTTCAGATTGCGCACCGCGCTCTTCATTCATTTCCTAATCTTACAGTGAAAGTTCAGGGGAATAAATGAGCAGCAGAAAGCTCGTCGGTGCGTCTGATCCGAGGAGCAGCAAAGTCTCCGAGGTCATCAGAGGTGAGGGATGGGGTGAGGTACAGACACTCAGTGGTGAGTCAGAGCGAAGGAGCGAGTTGGCTATAAAAAGAGGGGCGACAGAGCAGATCAACACAGAGCGACAGAGGAGGTTACAGTCAGACCTGGTGCCTGAGCAGAGCGAGAGGAGCACACACTCCAGTTACCGTGAGGGACTCTCCCCCCATTACTACCACCAACACCAACAACACCACCAACAACACTACCACCACCAACACCACCAACACCACCACCACCAACACCAACACCAACACCACCAACACCAACACCACCAACACCAACACCACCAACACCACCACCACCACCACCACCACCACCGTGAGGCTGAGCACCTGTGAGCCGAGATGAAGTGTCTGGTGTGCGTCCTGACCGTCGGGATGTTCCTCTCCTCCCTTCCCGGCTCTGTGTTATCTCAGACCAACAAGGGCACGGGGTATGGGGTGAAGCTGTGCGGAAGGGACTTCATCCGAGCGATCATCTACACCTGCGGAGGGTCGCGCTGGAGAAGGCTCTCAGACGATCAGGACTATGGTAAGTATTTGCACATCACTCCCCCACCGCAGCTCTCTCTCTGTGTGTGTGTGTGTGTGTGTGTCTGTGCCGCTGTGTGAAGCTCTCAGCACCGAATCCTTCTCCCACTGGAGGATTTGGATGGACCGCAGGACTGTCCCCCACAGCGTTGCCCTCTCTCGATTTGGAGCCTCGGGGGAGGGATCATCTCGAATCGATTCACCTTTTAACGCGGGGGGTTCGGGTCCGGTGCATTTCTGGGCTGGAGGGCCAAAAGAAAAAAAGAATAGTTTCCCCCCCCACACAAAAAAAAGTCTCCAAAAAAAAATAGTCTCCAAAAAAAAAGAATAGTCTCCAAAAAAAAGTCTCCAAAAAAAATAGTCTCCAAAAAAAAATAGTCTCCAAAAAAAAGAGAATAATAATAAGAAGAATAGTCTCCAAAAAAAAGAATAGTTTCCAAAAAAAAGAATAGTTTCCAAAAAAAAGAATAGTTTCCCCCCCAAAAAGTCTCCAAAAAAAGTCTCCAAAAAAAGAGAATAATAATAAGAAGAAGAGGAATAGTCTCCAAAAAAAAAGAATAGTTTCCAAAAAAAGAATAGTTTCCCCCAAAAAATAGTCTCCAAAAAAGTCTCCAAAAAAAGAGAATAATAATAATAATAAGAAGAATAGTCTCCAAAAAAAAGAATAGTCTCCAAAAAATAGTCTCCAAAAAAAAATAGTCTCCAAAAAAAAGTCTCCAAAAAAAGAGAATAATAATAATAAGAAGAATAGTCTCCAAAAAAAAAGAATAGTTTCCAAGAAAAAAGAATAGTTTCCAAAAAAAAGAATAGTTTCCAAAAAAAAGAATAGTTTCCCCCCAAAAAAGTCTCCAAAAAAAGAGAATAATAATAAGAAGAGGAATAGTCTCCAAAAAAAAAGAATAGTTTCCAAAAAAAAAGAATAGTTTCCAAAAAAAAGAATAGTTTCCAAAAAAAAGAAGTTTCCCCCCCAAAAAATAGTCTCCAAAAAAGTCTCCAAAAAAAGAGAATAATAATAATAAGAAGAAGAATAGTCTCCAAAAAAAAATAGTCTCCAAAAAAAAAGTCTCCAAAAAAAGAGAATAATAATAATAATAAGAAGAATAGTCTCCAAAAAAAAAGAATAGTTTCCAAGAAAAAAGAATAGTTTCCAAAAGAAAGAATAGTTTCCAAAAAAAGAATAGTTTCCCCCAAAAAAAGTCTCCAAAAAAAGAGAATAATAATAATAAGAAGAATAGTCTCCAAAAAAAAGAATAGTTTCCAAAAAAGAATAGTTTCCAAACATAAGAATAGTTTCCCCAAAAAAATAGTCTCCAAAAAAAGTCTCCAAAAAAAGAGAATAATAATAATAAGAAGAAGAAGAATAGTCTCCAAAAAAAAGGAATAGTTTCCAAAAAAAAGAATAGTCTCCAAAAAAAGAGAATAGTCTCCAAGAAAAAAGAATAGTCTCCAAAAAAAAAGCAAAGCTACACAGACAGTGAGTGGGACAGTGTGTGAGAGAGGGACAAACATGTTGCAGCCGAGAGGATGACACAGTCTTACAGAGGATGGATCCCCACCTGCAAAATGCTCTCTCAGGACAACTGGGAGTGTCTCACCGGATGGTCTAAGAACCACCGACACAGGTCAGGTTGGGGTGGAGGAGGCACTGGACGAGAGGCTTCGGTATTATAATAATAATAATAATAATCCTTGCATTTGATATAGCGCTTTTCACGTCGGGAGGACGTCCCAAAGCGCTTCACAGAACACACTGTAAAGTGAATTGACTGTATATTTGTGGGCGAACGCGGCAGCCAATTGCGCACAGCAGTGTCTCACAAACAGTCGTAGATTGAAAATGACCAATTTATTATTGTTTTTGGTTTTGGAGGGATTATTATTAGGCTCTGTGTGGAGTAAGGAAACTTGCCCAAGGTTTCACCCTGTCTGGAATTGAACTCAGGTCTCTCGCTTGTAAAGCGAGTGCTCTAACCACTGAGCTACAGAACTCAGACTAACAACTAACACTGGGGCTGAGATACTTGTATCACAGGGATTGGTTAGTCGGAGTTCATTAACTGTTCATTAACTGTTTTGGAAAAGTTTCAGGTATCACCGTAGCCCAGTCATTGCCACTTTCCCATCTTGTCAAACAAATTAACGTTATGCCTTTACATATGTTAAAACGTGTAGAAAGAACGACATCAGCTGCAGTCCCACCCGCTGGAGAACCTGAATCTTTGATCTCATGAGTTCAAGGAAGTTATTAGGATCACTGAGAAACAATCCTGTATACAGACAGACAGACACAGACAGACAGACACACAGACAAGACACACACACACACACAGACAGACACAGACAGACACACACACACACACACAGACACACAGACAGACAGACAGACACACACACACACACACACAGACATTCTCGTGTGAAAGACAATCATAGCCAAGGGTTAAAGTGAGGTGGGATGTCTTTACCACTTAGAAATCGCTCTTGAGACAGTTTCTTTGCATAATCTACAAAACTAGTTCATATAAATTTTATATTTTCACTATGCATTGAAGTGCCCTGGCGACAAGTTTTGTAGAATAAACCATCTCAAAGGCTACTCATAAAATGTAACATGAAAGTATTTATTTGCCAAGTCGTCAGGGAAGACTGCCTACCAATGCAGCGAAGAGAGCTTAAAAAAAACAGCCACAAATTTAATAAGCTTCTGGTTTCTTGGATTGAAAAATCACACAGGAGATCTGGAAGCAGTTTAAACACCACCGATTCTAAAGCGACATTTATCTTTCTGATGACCTTTACTTTCAATTTGCTATGAATCAGGTCAACATTCCGTCTCAATATTCTTTTGAAATCATTTCAAAAATGGGGCGTTTGCGGTAAAATACAAACCGGAGACAACACAGGGGTGTGTATTCTTGCCATTCTAGCCAGACTCTTTCATTTGAGGGTGCAAATTTCTCTTTTCAATTTGCACTTGTACAGCACTTCTCAGGTGCAGAGAATGTGTCAAAGAACTTTGCAAAGATTGAGCAGGAGCAAAGCTGGGAGGGAGAAGGAGAGACAGCTGAACGAAATGCCACTGAGAATGGAAGGGGAATGGTGCCTATCTCCAACTCAACTGGTCTATGTTTGTGTGAGGGGAGGACATCATCTCCAGCACATCCAGGGAATGTTTCATGTGATAACTATATAAAGTATTGCTAAGTTTCCCCCTCTCCCGTTGTATTTAAGTGACTAGAATCAATTGGTATCATTTCTGTTCCAGTTCCCTCCCAGACTGCAGCTGACAAGGACACAGAGAGTATGAAAACGTTTCAAGACATGTTTGCGAATGATGGTTTCCAGAAACCCGACCTGCCTTTCAGACAGCAGCCACTGAAGGACACCCCTTATAACGACGGAGAATTTGGGCAGCAGATTCCTAATGCTCTCAGCCAGTACATTCAACAGAATGAGGAAGGGATCGAGAAGAACCAGGAGGTGGAGAACTTCCCCTGGGCCAAATCCCTTAGGAGGAAAAGGCAAGAACCTTTGGGATTGGCAGTCATGTGCTGCAAGTGGGGCTGCACCAAAAATGAAATCCGTGCACTCTGCTGAAAGCTAAATCATGCTAATTGTACATCTGTATTTATTCCATTCACTTGAACTCTACATCAGTGAGAGTTTAGTCTAAATTGTGAGATAATGTATTTAGAAATCTCACTTTGTGGAATATTAATTCAACATAATTTACATGTGATTTCTAGTATGGTCAAAGTAGTTGTCACATTGAAGAACTTAAAATACAAATAAAATTTTTTGCAACTGTACATTTTTAAGGTGCTATTTCATTCATATCAGAAACATTTATGTAACAAATATAACTGAGTGGCAAAATTCCTGAGTTCATTTTTAGAGGGTTTTCTGGACCTTATGAACATAATATCTCTTGCTGTAAAATCTAAAAGATGCTAAAGAGTTCAGATTATATTTTTCTGTGTCAATTTATAGAATGTTTCAGCACAGAAACAGACTATTCATCTATCGGGTTTTTGCTAGTGTTGTTCTCCACATAAGCTTGTGGTAAATATAGAAGCATTACCCTGACGTAAATAACTAGAAAATTATGGAATCAATTATGTGAAAGGAAGTGGAGGATTACCTGTATAAAGATAATTTAATAAGTGACAGCCAATATGAGTTCAGAAAGGGTAGGTCTTCTCAGACGAATCTCATAGAATTTTTGAGGCGGTGATAATTAATAATAATAATAATCCTTGCATTTGACATAGCACTTTTCAAGTCTTCTAGACGTCTCAAAGCGCTTCACAGAATAGACTATAAAGTGAATTGACTGTGTGTTTGTTGGCAAAATGTGGCAGCCAATTGTGCACAGCAGTGTCCCACAAACAGTCATGGATTGAAAATGACCAATTTATTATTGTTTTGTTTTTGGAGGAATTATTATCAGGTGTGTGGAGTAAGGAAACTTGGCCAAGGTTTCGCCCTGCCTGGAATTGAACCCAGGTGTCTCGCTTGCAAGGCAAGTGCTCTAACCACTGAGCTACAGGACTCCACAATTTAATTTAACTGTGGGAAACCATAATATAGTATATCTAGACCTCCAAAAGGGGTTTAGAATACAGTAGAATATCCAGCACAGAAACAGGCATTCGGCCCAACTGGTCTATGCCGGTGTTTATTCTCCACGTGAAACTTCTGCCTTTTTTCAACTAAGCCTTCAAGCATAACCTTCTATTCCTTTCTCCCTCATATACCAATCCAGCTTCCCCTTAAATACATTTATGCAATTTGCCTCAACAACTCTTTGTGGTGGTATGTTCCACATTCCCACTATTCTCTGTGTAAAGAAATTCCTTTACCCATTTAGGTTTTTATTTTCCAGGATGTTTGACAAAGTACCCCATAAAAGATTCCTTCACAAATCATGGTCACTGGCAATCAAGGGCAAGACTTGGATGTGGATCCTGAATTGGCTGAAGGAAAGGAAATAGAGGGTCTTTGTGAGGGAGGGAGGGAGGGAGGGGGTCAAAATGGGAGGGGCTATTAAGCGGGGTGCCTTTCTTAAGATCTTCCCCTTTGACCATGCATTCGGTCATCCTTCCAACCCATCGTCTCTTGGTTCAAACCCCCAATTTGGGTGCAGACTCTTGACTGTCCATTGCCTTGGGATGATCTCCCAACATGAAAGGTGCAGGACTCTTGCTCTTCCTTCTATGAATAACCTGAATTTGCACATCCAGTCTAAGATAAATTTGCAGATGACACCGAGTTGGGAAAAATTTGAATTAGAGGAGGCCCCAAAGGTCCTACAAAGAGAGATTGATAGGGTATGCACAGGGGATGATCATTAGCAAATGAAGTTTAATGCAAATAAATGCAAGGTACGACACATGTAAAGTAAGATTAGAATACATTAGATCACCATAGATGGGATTGAATTTGCCAAGGGGAAAATGAAAGAGATTTAGAGATGTTAATTGACTCATCTAGACCCAAGAGACATGTTCATATCGATGAATAGAGATTTATCCAGCAGACTACTAAGAAATCATCAGTGTGGAGACACAAAGCAAACACTACACATAATAATAATAATAATCCTTGGATTTGATACAGCACTGTTAAAACACTGTTATAACATTGTTGAGACGTATCAAAGCGTTTCACAGAATATACTGTAAATTGAATTGACTGTATATTTTGTGGGTGAAACGCAGCAGCCAATTGCACATAGTAATGTCATGGATTGAGTGAACAATTTATTATTACTTATTATTTGGAGGTATTATTGAAAGCGATCTGCAATCAACTAATAAACTAATAATCGGGTGCCCAGTTATGGCTAGATAAACAGTAGTCTGGAATAAGGAAACTTGCCTAAGAGTTCGCCCAACCAGGAATCGATCCTGAGTCCTCTTGCTTGCGAGGCGAGTTCTCTAACCACTATGCTACAAGATTCCGCTGTACACGATAATGAAAGGAAAACATAAAATATTGAACTAAATACTAAATGCAGTCCCCCACCCCACCACAAACCATCACCAAGTCCTTCACCATTTCTTTCCACCCGTTGAAAAAGTCCCTCACAAATGCTCTCTCATCGTCGGATGTACTGTCATGCTGCTAAATGATCGACTCTCCTCCACTTTCAATTCCCCTGCTCCCTGAAATCCAGGACCATCTCCAAACCCACCCGCTTCCCTTAGTATAATACCCAATACTCTCTTCAATCCCATACGTAGATGCTCAACAACAAATTGCATTCATAGAGCACCTTTCACGTTGGGAGATCATCCCAAGGCACTGGACAGTCAAGAGTCTACATCCAAATTGGGGTTTTCAACCAAGAGGCGATGGGTTGGAAGAATGACCGAATGTATAGTCAAAGAAGAAGATCTTAAGAAAGGCCTTGAAGGAGGCAAAGGAGGGGGCAAAGCAAAGGGATTCCAGGATGGAGGCAGAGGGTAGAGGAAGAAAGGCTGAAAGCCAGACAACAACAACAACAAGATTCCATTTATAGAGAGCCTTTCACGTCGGTAGACTGCTGATGGTGGGGTGCGCAGGGTGGGGGACATGGAGCAGGCCAGTACCTGCTGAGTGGAGGGAACGGAAAAGCTGGTAAGGTCACATAATAATGTCCCACAAGTCGTTGGGGAGGAGCAAGACTGGGAGGGCTTTGAAGGCAAGGATGAGGATTTTAAACTCAATCCTCTGGGAGATGCGGAGCCAGTGGAGCTGGGCGAGGATAATTGGCTCACAGAGATGGTCGGGAGAGGACACATGCTGCAGAGTCCTGAATAATCTGCAGCTTGTGGAGGGAAGAGCTGGGATGTCCGGCGAGGAGGGCCTTAGCATCGTGAAGCCTGGACGTAATGAAAGCATAGACGAGGATTTCAGCAGCCTGAGGGGAAAGATAGTGGCAGAAGTGTGTAATGTTGCAGAGGCGGGCAAAGGCAGAACGGGTCATGGCGCGGATGTGGGGATAAAAGACAGTGGAGGATCAAACAAGTCACCAAGGGTCCGGACTGGCTCAGTGAAGGTGTAGAGTTCAACCATGAACAGTGATGGTATCAGGGCTTCAGGGGTGGAGGAGCTGACAGGAGCCAATCAGGAGGACTTTGGTCTTGTCAATATTCAACTGGAGAAAGTTAGTTCCCATCCAGGACTTGATGTCTGACAATCTGTCAGGACAGCAGTGCTCCTGGAGTCGAGAGTGGAGGCAGAGAGATAGAGTTGGGTATCATCCATGTTAACCTCATATCACCAAGGGGGAGCATGTAGATACTAAATAGGAGATGACCAAGGACAGAGCTGGATGGAACGCCGCATGCGACATTGCGAGGGCTGGAGGAGAAGCCGTTTGTGGATACGAAGTGGAGATGATGGGAAAGGTAAGAGTGAAACCAGGCAAAGACAGTACCATGAAGGTGGAGCTGAGAGATGGTGAGAATAGAAAGGTCAATAGTGCTGAAGGCGGCTGGAGATCGAAAAGGACCAGGAGACAGAAAGAGCCCTGGTCACAGATGGACAGATTGTGACTGAGGCTGTTTCTGCACTGTGGACTGCACGGAAACCAGATTAGCAAAGTTCATACAGGGAGTGGCAGGAGAGGAGAGCACAAAGCAATGACTCATTTCAGGACCTTGGAAAGAAAGGAATGGTTGGAGATTGTGACAGCAGTTTGAGTTCAGAGATGGGTCAAGGGAAGACTTTTTGAGGATGAGGCTGATGATGGCTGTTTAAGTGAGTGAGAATGGTGCCAGTAGACAGAAAGAGGTTGACAATGTCAACCTTAGTGGGGAGCAAGGAAATGGAGCTGTGAGGTAAGGAGAGGGGTATGGATGGGTTTGGGGCACTGGGTGGTGGGCTTCATTTGAGAAATGATGGAGGTGAGAGAGGGAGCAAAAGTGTGGAAGGAGGGATAGGTGGAAGCCAGAGGGGGAGATGGGGAGGGGATAGCAGTAGAAAGGCAAGAGAGTGAATCCCCTTGATTTTGTACTCTAGGAAATCCTCACTTTTGGAGTTGGAAGATAGGATGGGCAAGCCATGGGAAGGTGGTCAGAGGAGCTGGTTTGTGGTGAAGAGGAGGCTGGGGTTGTTCTTGGGCTCCGGTATGATCTTGTAATAGAAGAACGATTTGGCTGAGGCGAGGACAGAGTGGTGTGTTTTGATGCAGTCCAGCCAAATCTGGTGATGGACTGTTCAATTGGATTTGTTCCATGTGCGTTTAGCAGAATGCATCTGTGCCTTTAAGGAGTGGAGGTGGCTGGTGTATTTGGGGGAATTCATGGGATTAGGAGGTGGAGCAGGAGGTGACAGGGCAAGGGTGTCAAAGATAACAGAGAGGGAGTTATGGAGGAGGCCCTGAGGGGCAGGACTTCAAATGACAACAACAAGATTACATTTGTATAGCGCCTTTCACGTCGGGAGGACATCCCAAGGCGCTGGACAGTGTACAGCATTTCAGACCTGAGCTGGGGTCAGGGGGGAGAAGGGAGGGGAGGGGAAGGGGAGTGACCGATGGCGTGGTCGAAGAAGAGGGTCTTGAGGCGGGACTTGAAGGAAGCTAAGGAGGGTGTGAGGCGGAGTGATGGGTTGATGGAATTCCAGAGGTTGGGGGCAGAGTGGTTGAAGGCTCTCCCGCCAATGGTGGGGCGGGTGGGTTAGGGAACGTGGAGCAGGCCAGAGCCGGCTGAGCGGAGGGAACGAGCGGGTTGGTAGGGGGTTAGGAGGTCGCAGAGGTAGGGTGGGATGAGGC